AAAAAAATTATTTAATAATGTCAAACATTCGCGTAAATCTAAGAAAGTATTTTATTACTTTATTTAAAACTTTATCAAACATAAACAATCTAATCTTGAGCTGTTCTGTTATTTTTTACTGCATTATTGTTATCGTACTAGCGCGACTTCGCTTCGCTCGGTTTCGTCCCTAGATACGTATTTTTTGAGCGGAACCCTAATTCTTTTTCTAAAATAAAAGTAGCGTGAGTTACTCCTTATCTGCCAGTGAAAGTTCCGTCAAAATCAGTCCAGCCGTTTCGGAGATTAGCCGGAACCAACACACAGACAGATAGATAAAAATTATATTTGTCTTATAAGTCCCGTATATAATTCATACGAATAAGTAACATTTTGACATTACAAACAGACACTTCATTTTTATTTATCTGTATATATAAACAAATTTATTATATCTATGTACATTGTACTTATTTGTTTGTATTTTTAAACTTGGTGGAGACCAATAAAAATCACTCATCATTTTTCTTCAATTCATACAAAAGTTGGTGTATTCTACATAGTTTATTCGTCGTTTTTATTTAAATTTGTTTTACTAACTTTCAAATTGAAAATGGCTGTTTGCTTAAAGTTTCACAACTGGACAACTCGCACGGTTGTTGTTGAAGTTAAATTTTAGAAGTCTCCTGATACACTCGTGACTGAATAAAAATGTTATATATGTACCTATTATATTTTAACTTTAGTTTATTTTTTAAATATCTACATAGCAGAATCTGCGGCTTCGTTTGCGCTTAAACTATAAAAAAAATCTTAAAAGGTGGATTTCATACAAAATTTCATCCTCTATTTTACTATAATGGTACTCTTATGGGATGAATTTCGAAAAATGCTAAAACACGTATTTATTTCGTTGTATCGAAGAGCATTAATATCCAGTTTCAAGTAATTATGATCATGAATATTTTTTTGGGTTGCATTATATTGTTTTCACGTGGGAATGAGATGATCTCCCGCGGTAAAAAGTAGCCTATGTCACTTTCCAGCCTTCCAACTATCAAATCACACCAATTCGTCACTCTGTTTTGACGCGAAACAAGGACCAACAAACAAACACACTTTCACATTTATAATATTAGTCCATACTAATATCCATATATTCCATATATTCCACTCATAGTGTGAGTTACAAAAGGACCTCTTTGCTGCCTTTTTGTCACAGACGATTATTACACCGAGTAATTTATTATATTAACTCGAATATTTTAACATGCCTTCAAATACTGGTAACATCTGATTTTCATAAATTTTAAAAACATAATAAAGTTGTTGTTACTGCATGAGAGTCCATAACAAACGGGGAACGTTTCTGAAATAAAAATATAACTAGCATCATTCGCACATGATTTTTTATTGTCTTTTATGCCCCACTAGCATTGCTCGTGGCTCCGCCCGCGTTCGATGACCAAAAACTTAATTCTTAGGTTTTACATAGTAGTATAGGTACTCTTACAATGCAGTTTTTGTATTTTTGCTCAGAAATGAGATATTTTTCCGCGGTAAAAAGTATCCTATATGTTGACCAGCCATCAGACAGTCATTCTATAGGATAACCAGCTATCATCATACCAAATTTCATCAAAATCTGCCCAGTGGTTTTCTCGTGATGCGGTAACAGACAGACAGACAAAAATTCTAAAAACTATAGATTCGGACTCTGTATCGATAATAATGTCTATTTCAATTAAATTTTCCAAAAAATATTTAATGTACAGATTCGACTTAGTTACAATTTATTATAGACGAATATTATGACCAATGAAGGTCCCCTTCTATTGAAGTTAATATAAACTATTCTTAAAAAAAAAAGAACTGAAACAGATAAAACATTTTTTTTAAACAAAACCGTAAACTAATTTTATTAAAAACAGTATTGGCGCCCAATTTTTGCTGTCTAATATTAAAAAAAATAGTTCAGAGCTAAAATAACAAACCATTTCCTACATTTTCAGAGCTTTCCCATTAAAGTTGTTTATTCTAGTGTTTTTAACAAGTTAAAAGCACGGCTGGAAAATGCGCAACTGGGTCAACTCAGACAGACAAATATAATAGAATGAAAATATTATTGCACATTTAAAAAAAAACATTTTTGTTATAATAACAAATGCTATTTAGATTTAAATGAATGTTTTTATATAAATCGTCTACACGACCTTGACAGGCTTGATGCCTTAATAAGCTTTTAGATATGGCAGCAGTAAAGAATTAGCATAGATAAAACTTTCTGTTTTTTTTTTCAAGACTCTTTTAAGGCACTGTAATGTAAGAAATTATTGTACAGAGTTTTTAATCTATATTAATATTATATGGAGGAAATATTTGTTTGTATTATTTTTTTTTAATTTAAAATGCGAAATGCTAAAGTACTACTTGATAATGGCGACCAAGAATAATTAGATCAACACATTACATTATCTATATGTCAGCTCGATGGTACTAAATGGTGAAATATGTGTGATTTTTTATTTTTTTTATACTATATAGCTAACATCGTTATATAATTGTAAAAAAATATCTAGCTCAAATAAAAACTGAAATTTAGATATTTTTTTTAATATCATACCGAAACGGATACTTTAAACGCCCGAAATTTCGCGCGCTTGCCGTGACGTCACAGTATACATAGAAAAATGACGACTTTAGTTTTGTAGCGCACAAAATCGCTAATCGCTCTGTTACGATAGTATTTTGACGTCACATTCGGTCTGACCAATGGCGTGCGTTTCAACTACTTTGAATTTCTCACCTATTTTTCCACTTTTTAACAATTATTTTCTTAATCAAAAATAAATTACATTAAAAAATATTGATACAGGCTTAATTCAAAAGCAATAAAGATTTAAAAAAAAATGTGTGTGTGTGTGTGTGTAGTTATGCCTTATTGTTCATATGTCTTTTGAAAACTTGCTAGGTTCTCTCAGACATGCAGGTTTCCTCACGATGTTGTATTATTAATTTAATATATTAGGGGATAATTGAGATATTTTTTTTTTTAAATTGAAAAGGACGATAAATTTATATTGAGGTATAAACCATTTTATCAAAGAAAGTAATAAAATAATCGAATCATAATTGGCCTAAATATCGCTTATTATACAATAAATATAAAAATACAGCTAAATTAATAACCTCTTTTTTACTGAAGTCGGTCATAAATAAAGTTAAATTATAAGAACAAAAGCTGGACAAGTCTATATATAAGTAACTCGTAGTTCGTAGTGCGTGCATTGCCACTATGATGAGTGAACAGATACTGCCTCACGCCAGTGACAAAATAATCAAAATGGACGTAACTAACACACATAAGTAATTACAGAATCATGTCGTGACTTTAGAAATTTTACTAATTATATATTAGGGACGTTCTATTAGGTCGCTCAATCATAGCATTAACATTATTCTAACGTTTAAAAAAACTAAACTGCTGGCTGGATTTAGATGAAAGTTGGTAAACAGATATAATATCTATGACATGAAGTAGAACGTAGGTTGTAGTCAATACATATAATAAAATTGTAACAAAGCCGAATCTGTACATTAAATATTTTTTGGAAAATCTTATTGAAATAAACATTATTAGCGATACGGAGGCCGAATCTATAGTTTTTAGCATTTTTGTCTGTCTGTCTGTCTGTCTGTCCGTCCGTCCGTCCGTCCGTCTGTCCGTCCGTGTCTGTCTGTCTGTCTGTCTATTACCGCATCACAGAAAAATCACTGGATGGATTTTGATGAAATTTGGTATGGTGATAGCTGGTTATCCGGGTCAACATATAGGATACTTTTAACCGCGAGAAAATATCTCATTTCTGAGAAAAAAATACAAAAACTGCAATGTAAGAGTATGCTAATATGTAAAACCTAAGAATCTAGGTTTTGGTCATCTGAATGCGGGCGTAGCCGCGGGCAATGCTAGTTACTTATAAAATTTATCTAACGGCTGTGCTGCTCAGTATATGTATACATAATATTACAACTACATATTATTAACTAGCAACTCACCCTAGCTTCGCTTGGGTTCGTCCCTACTAAAAGAGACAACTCTATCCTACCAGAACCGCATATTTTTTCGGGATAAAAAGCAACCTATTTGCGATTCTAACTATAATCTATCTCTATGTCAAATGTCATACTGACCATTTAGCTGTTTTGGCGTGTTTTTGTAACAAACATCCACCTAACAAGCTTTCGCATATTAATTGGATGATGACTGCATATGAAAGAAATTATATAGTTTTAACATCGCGTGCGTTCTATAACATTAGTGTCGTAACGTTTATTTAGTTGACATTTGCTAAACAGCTACCCTATAAGGTGGGTAGTGTTTTCGTAGTATGTATGTATACGTACATATAACATTTGTTATATATTGTGTACAATTTGTTATTGGCAATTCATCTTAATTATGGTGATAATCAATAATCATCAATCTTAATCATGAGATACTTATGTGCGTATATATATATATATATATATATATATATATATATATATATATATATATCTTTTTCTCCTGTGTTTGTCAATCGATTTTCTTTTTTTTCTGTTTTGTAGCTATTTACGGGCTCTAGTTCTAACATTAGTATTTTGAAGAAGACTTAGCAAAGATGACAGAAGTACTGTTAAAAATAAAGAATTATATATTTGTTTTACAGTTTTTATGCTTATTTTTATTGTGTTTTTGAACCGTAAAACCATAACCGTATGTCGTAAGCGCATATCATTTTTATTTTAATAAGAAAATTACAAATATACTTATTAACTATATGCAAGATATACAAAACAAATGTACACTTAGTTATTACTGTACAAGTCATGTCGCGGAATTGTGGCAGGAGTGATAGCCGCAGTGCCCCGATGAATGGCAATGGGCGTACAACGAGCCAGCCCTCTGTCACCAGTAGAGGCGATAAGATGAGGTGTTATGTCTTTTACAAAAACCCCTCGGTGGTGTAGTGGCTAGCATGTACGGCTGCACACCCGGAGGTGCTGAGTTCGAGTCCCGGGTCGGCCAAAGTTTAGTTATTCAGTCTTTCTATATAGTAAGCCTCAGTAACAGCCCGGAGTTGGGAAGTTGGCGGTGCCTCGGAGAGCACGTAAAGCCGTCGGTCCTACGCCTTAACTCTCACTGGTCGTGTCGAGCGGTCGTCCCACCGGAGTATGAGAGTGACAGGAATAGAGAGTGCACGTTGCGTCTGCGCGTACATTTGTGCACTATAATATCTCCTGCGCAGTTGGCTAGTCTCAATGAGACTGGCCGCCGTGGCCGGAATCGGTCAGGAGAATAACATATCACGTCTTTTAAGAAATGCTTAGCATTTTGACTCCACGGTCTAAGGGTTTCTACAGCAAACGGTATTAAAACATAATTTTGACTAAACAAAATAATAATAGTAAAAAAAAAAAAATTGTTACCGCATTGCACCGTCTGGATTGCGAAGATTTTCATTTTTACCTTAATTAATAATGTATCAATAGACGATCCCATTTTATTTGGAGTACATTTTTACCCAATTCCTCTCAGTTATTTTCAGTGGAAATCAGGGAATGCATCGTACAGATTTCACGAGCTCTTGTAATTAAAAAATTATATCGAGTTGTGCTTGTATTTTCTCTTAAAAATGAAATTAGGTCATTATTATTTATTCATATCTAGTAACCTGCCCGCTTTACTTATTGCTGTTTTTCAGCAGAAACCAAATATATTGTATGTAACACACCACCTTATATCCGGTATCCATAACACAAGCCTCGTAGCTTACCATGGAACTAGATGGTGCTTTTATTTTCCCACTAGCATTGTGCGGCTCCGCCCGTGTTCAGATGACCAAAAACCAAATTCTTACGTTTTACATACATATTAGTATACTCTTACATTGCAGTTTTTGTATTTTTTCTCAGAAATGAGATATTTTCCCACGGTAAAAAGTATCCTATATTGTTGACCCGGATAACCAGCTATCACCATACCAAATTTCATCAAAATCCCTCCAGTGGTTTTTCTGTGATGCAATAACAGACAGACAGACAAAAATTCTAAAAACTGTAGATTCGGCCTCTGTATCGATAATAATGATTATTACAAGAAGATTTTCCAAAAAATATTTAATGTACAGATTCGGCTTAGTTTCAATTTTGTTATATGTATAGATTTAACACTTGTATAGAATGAGTTTTCAAAATCATCGTTAAGTGCTCGCCAACCTCAAAGTTTTGGATAACGGTTCCTTATATAGTAAGGAATATAAACCCTTCTCCAAAACTTTATTTGAGTTCGAGTTTGAAGTTAAGATTTTTAAAGTTTTGGTAGTCCCAACGATGAGAGTATTCTAATAAGACACTTATTATTCCTATACGACTGTATGTCGTAATTTTTGTCTTGAAAATAATAATAAAAAACATCAAAATTAATATTGTTCAGTAATAAGTCCAAGCGAAACTATGTGGTCCAAAATTATAAATATATTAGCAGAACCCGCGGCTTCGCTCGCGTTAACTACAAAACAACTAAAAAGGTATGTTTCATACAAACTTTCATCCCCTTTCATTCCATCCCCTCACCCCCTCTTATGGAATGAATAAATGTGAGTGTGTTTGTTTGTGACGGATTGGAGTGATTTTTTGTGTGGAGACTGTTGGATGACTGGAGAGTAACATAAGACTACTTTTAACCGTAGAAGATTATTTAATTCCCACGGGAAAACACATAGTACAACCCAAAAAAATATTTATGATCAGAATTACTTGGAACTTGGTACATTGATCTTCAATAAAATTTATTAAATATGTTCTAGCATTTTTGCGAAATTCATCCCTTAAGGGAGTAAAATAGAGAATGAAAGTTTGTAAAAAACCTATCTTTACAATTTTTTTGTTTGCAACTTTAGCCCAAGAGAAGCCGCGGGTTCTGCTAGTTATGTAAATTATAATTCATTTGTGCTAAATACTCCTCCAACTTATGTATATAATGCATGTTTCTATATCGTTGACCCAAATGTGTCAAAATTTTGATATCTCGCCGAGGAAGTGCAGAGTCACTGCGTGAGCGCGCCGTCGCCACTAATTAGTCCGTGGAGTGTACTAATAATGTTGCCTAATTGAGCTGGAAACTATCATAACACTACACATAGATCTACTAAGTTTATTTCATAATAGACTGTTGGTAGATTAAATTTCTGTAATCGTTAGACATCTATACTAATATTATAATTAATGTGAAAGTGTGTTTGTTGGTTTGTTTGTCCTTCTTTCACGTGGAAACGGAGTGACGAATCGGCGTGATTTTTTGTGTGGAGATAGTTGGAGGGCTTGAGAGTGATATTGGCTACTTCATACCGCGGGAGATTATCTCTTTCCAACGGGAAAACACGTTATAATACATCCCAAAAAAATATTTGTGATCAGAATTAATCGATACTTGGTGTTGATGCTGTTCAATTCAATTAAATAGATACGTGTTTAAGCATTTTTCGAAATTCACCCTCCTTTGCATCGCGCAGTCGGGTAATAACATACAGCTTTTCTATACATATAAATAAAATTGTAACCAAGCCGAATCTGTACATTAAATATTTTGTGAAAAATCTTATTAAAATAGACATTATTATCGACATAGAGGCCGAATCTATAGTTTTTATATTATATATTTTATAGAATTTTTGTCTGTCTGCCTGTCTCTTTGTTACCGCATCACGGAAAAACCACTGGAGGGATATTCATGAAATTTGGTATGGTGATAGCTGGTTATCCGGGTCAACATATAGAATAGCTATTACCGTGGAAAAATATGTCATTTCTGAGAAAAAATATAAAAACTGTAACTGTAAGAGTACTTGTAAGAGTTTACTAATATGTAAAACCAAAGAATTTGGTTTTTGGTAATGTGAACGCGGGCGGATAAAATATATAATATCTACTCTTAAAATTCACGGTATGAAATCCAGAAATTCATAAAATATAAAAATGCAGAAACAAAAATCTACTTCAAACGAAAGTAGAAAACATATATCTCTTTGGCCTATGAGTAAATGAAAAATGACTTCAAACGATACTTGAATATAAAATATTTTTTTCTTTGAGCTACAAAAGTAAGCCTTATTTTAAAAATATTTTTGTACGCTACGCCTTTATATTTGTTATCTTTAATTATACTTAAGAAATTAGACCAAGGTCGGTGTATTTTAAAATATTCATTTTTAACAGTGCCTTTTAAGTGGACTCGTTTTAACCCTTGGTAGGGTTATTGCTATTGTTACCGACTTGAAACAAAAGAGGCAATTCTGTAGCGTAAGCTGCTGCATTGTCCTCGATGTTTAAGCTAGACTTCTCGCTAGTTTCGTGGGAACTTTTTAATGCTAGATATTTTTAGACCAAATAGTCTTTCTAGTAAGTAATATTTAGTATCTAGTGTTTTGCTGTTGGTTTTGCCAAATTTTGTGGTAAGGTTCAGGTTATGATATGGTCAATGAATTGGTTTCACAATTTTTTTACTGGATGGATTCAAAGTGTTTTTAGGCTTTGTTCTATAATTGGCAAAAAGAAGTGGAGCGGAGAGAATTATTGTCTTTAGTTAAAGGAAAAGGCAGAAAAAGAAAAGAATTTATGGCATAGTAGCAGAAAAAGGAAAGAATTTATGGCAAAGATGGTTGGTTCTAAGTATTGGGTAAGGATTTTCGTATTAAGTAAACTCTTAATTGAATAGTTTATAGACTATATACTACAGGGTAGTTGCAACGTATGTTGGTATTTCGTTATAGATTTACAGGGGGATGGTTTGATAGATTCCTGCATGGTGTGTGCGTGTACAAATACTTGCATCGAGACTGGATCGTAAGCGATTTTGATATAAATTGTTTTAGACGGACAGTTTCCTATTTCAGGGATGAACGTGCATAGAAACTATTGATTTGTTTTCGTTTTTACTCGCTTGAAAAACGAAAAGGTATTTAAATCGGTCGATAGTTGTTTTGTTTGTATGTCTGTGCTTTTAATTTGAGTTTCGTAATCTATAATATATTTTTGTCCTTTGTTAGCTTCCAACGGAAAGCTACATAGCTTGTTCAGAAATATTTTTGGATTTACTCCTTTTTTAGGGTTCCGTACCCATGCAGAAGCATGTATTTATATTGTCGCTATAACAAAAAATAATAAGAATAAAAATATAAAACACATTTATTTAACTTTCGTAACCGATCATCGAAATTAATATACTACATACATATAGTAAAAGTCATATTAATAAAAATTAAAAAGTACACGTACGATGGCACGGAACCCTTCGTATGCGAATTCGATTCGCACTTGACCGATTTTTTTAAATAGAATTCGGGACAGAAGATATTTTCTAACTAAATTTGATTTCAACGAGTCTGTTTTTCATTAGTATAATATCGTCTTAAATATGAAAATATTTTAGTAAATTAAAAAATGTTGGATATGAGTTTTCTTTAATCAAAGTTCGTTGCCCGCTTCTTGTTATAAAGCTCTCAGCTTAATGCTTTTCTTTTCAGCTCTATTTCAAGAAGCGGGTTTGACAGTTTTCTGAATTTTCCATTTAATCTTAATAAGGTATCTTTATGGTTTATTTAAATTTTTGTGGTTTAGCAAATAAACTATCGTTCTTCGTGAATACCTAAATTTGTAATAGTCTAGTATCTCGAGGCTATGTAACTTTTTACTCGACTGCTAGGAGAGGGTTATGTTTTTCGCGCCTATCTTTGTATGTTTATTTGTAATATACTTTATTCCGTCATATCTTCCAAACCTTTCGATGGATTTCTTTAATTGAGGTATCGTTAGATTTGTCTCATTAGTCCAAGTGATCTTAGATAGGTGATATAAAAAAAATATGGGGGCCGCTTGATTCCATTATGTGAAAAAGTGGTGGAGCATCGTTGAATAAGTATTTAAAAATAATTTATAGGTTTCTTTCATCATTTTTAATTTTAAATAACAGTTTTGGGTTATATAATTTTCTTCTTAAAAATACTTAAAAAGCTGTAAATAAATAAATAATTATATAAATAAAAAACTCGACTGCATAAAAGCTAACTAAAAATATGATAACTAGTTCACGATGGAATATAGTATAATTGTGCGGTCGGGTTTTTATTTTTATGATATTTTTATTTATTTCCAACATAACAGCTTAATATTTTATTTATTTTATTTTTATTTTTAAGCTTAATATCGAAAGATATAAAAAATCTTTGTCATATTACACTCACTGGGCTATAAATCTATTATGTATAATAGAATTCTAATTGAGTCGAATCTGTACATTAAA